TGTCGATCTGTTGTAAAACATGGTGTTCTGGTGCTTAATTTGTAAAACCATAACGTAATTTGATGTTTAATAGGCTTCCTTAATCCCTTCTTATTATCCAACATTTTCGCTTATCCAACATTCTGCCAGTTCATTTATGTTGAATAAACAAGTCTCTACTGTATATCAAAAGAAGGCTTTCAAAAGAGTAAGATAAAGATCACCATGAGTGAGGGTGATGTGGGAATAATATAAAAAGACAAGGATTTAAGGAGTCAACTTCTTAATTATTTCTAAGCAATGTTCCTGAATAAGCAGTTGCATAGTTGTAAAGTACTTGGCATATATTTGTAGTGGAAAGAGAAGATGGAGAAAAATATGATATTTTGGAATAATGGAATCCAATAAATATTTTTCATACCAAATTAATAATGATAGCTTTTAAAAAAAACCTTTTTACTTAGAAAAAAATATCAAGGTGAATGTGATAAATTAGTGAGGCTTTACTTCCCATGCTGTGAAACCATGGCCGAATAACCTTTAAATAGAGAAAAATCAAATTTAAGCATGTTTTCCTGTGTGCATTGATTGTTCCATATTTCCAGCTGTGCAATCATTGTGTTTTGTTAGAAACCTTTGGTTGTTTATGTCCCAGTACTTGTTGATAACTTCATTCAAGTTCAGAAACACTCTTGCTTGAAAGAATTATTCTTTGTATCTGTACATGATTCCTTCTACACTTTCATAACATCAAAATTGCATATTGTGCAGATCACAATTTCCCAAAGATTTGCATAGGTTTATGTGTGCTGCTTGGTTGAAATAATATAAATGGGAAAGGATGACAAATGGGTTTGAAAAGAGAACAAAGTTTGGTGTGTCTTTTAACAAAGTGATTTATGTATACCCAACAGGAGACCTTAATTCCTCTATTTAGTCAATGGTCATACTAATCTCAGAAAAACTCTGCCACGAGGGTGACTAATTTCAGCTCTTGTGTTGGCAAATGCTTTCTGGAGAAAATTCAAAGAGACATGTGTGTTAATTTGAAATATCAATGTACAAAGTGATCTTGTAGTACCTCTGTGACTAACCAAGAGAAATAAAACGGAGCATGACCTTTCATAGACTTAGGGATTTTCTGAACTAGAATTATACCCCAGTTTGGAACAGAGGTCAAGCCTAGATGTCCAGTGACTTCTGCTTGTTAATATGCAGTTTCAAAGAATCATAGACTCATACAGTGGGCCATCCATTCCAACCCCCTGCCAAGAAGCAGGAAAATTGCATTCAAAGCACCCCCAACAGATGGTCATCCAGCCTCTGTTTAAAAACCTCCAAAGAAGGAGCCTCCACCACACTTCGGGGCAGAGAGTTCCACTGCTGAACTTCTCTCACAGTCAGGAAGTTCTTCCTAAATGTTGAAGTGGAATCTCCTTTCCTGTGGTTTGAAGCCATTGCTCCGTGTTTTAGTCTCCAGGGCAGCAGAAAACAAGCCTCCTCCCTCCTCCCTATGATTTCCATCACATTTTTATACATGGCTATCATGTCTCTTCTCAGTCTTTTCTTCTGCAGGCTAAACATGCCCAGCTCTTTAAGCCACTCCTCATAAGGCTTGTTCTCCAGACCCTTGATAGATTAACTAAGGCCCCATCTAAACTGCCATATAATCCAGTTTCTAAATCCAGATTACCTGCTTTAAACTGGATTATATGACAGTGTAGACTCATACATTCCAATTCAAAGCAGATAATCTGGATTCAGAAATGGGAATGCATGGCAGTGTAGATATAGACTTAGTTTTACCCTGTAGTAAGCTAAGTCGGGGAATGCTCTGGAGTTTCAGCAAAACTTCAAAGCAGCACAGCACTTGGAGTGAATGTGGGAAGTACAACTGGCTCTAATCTGGAACAGTCTACCATCCACATGGGCCAGTGATGCCATCATCTTTTTCCTTAATTTGGGTCTAGGAAAAGGATAAATCAGGCCATGTTTCCCACTCCCACCACAGTAGCAGACAACTACAAAGCTGCCCCCCTTCCTTCTCCCTGGCCACATGGGAACTTTTGCTGGTGACAGTACAGGCAACCAGTCATGTCAAGTTCTCCCGGAGCTCCGTGGCTGTCTGATGGTGGCTACAGGAACAGCAAATGTAAGATAACAGTTCAACAGGGATGAACCAGTTTCTGCCCTACTAGATGGTCTGGCATCTGCCCTGCCACTGCTGTAGGTCGAAAACAGAATGTGTAGCCTCCCTAGGGCCAGTCAGAAATATTCCTACTTCAGACTGGCCTCCCATTTTAGTATAGGTGTAAATGGGCCTTTCATTTACTGCCTCAGATGCTTGATCAGGAGGGCCACACTCAATTGCCAACGAGTCTGGCAAGGTCTTTCAGCTCCAAGGAATGGAGGCAGTTTGAAATTAGTGGCTTCCTCATACGTGTTTTCAGCACTGTGTGCATAGAATGTACCAAAATAGAACAATAAAAGAATTTCACTGCTCCTTCTTCTATCTGGAATTGAATTGGATTCAGGTGGCATTCTGACCACCTAAGACGCTCAACATTGTGAAGGGGCAAAATGTTTTTAACATGGCACAAAACTTAAATTGGCACTTTCTGTTCACTAGAGTATTTATCTCAAATTAGCTCTGTAATTGATCATACCACTGGGCATGAGGGAGAGTCAATAGCCATGTACGTGCATGGTTTTCACACATTTTTGTGGGGTTTTTTCCCAGAGAAATAAAGAGTAAGCACTATTTTTTGGTAATATTTTGTGGAAGGAACTACCAAGGAGCTTTGTTGAACTACAAAAGTGAAATTTGGGGGAAATGCATAGCACATAAGTCTCTGAGCCCTGATTTAATTGGCATTTCCTCCTACTTCTAGTACAAAGGCAGGCAAAGTACAATCTTAATAACATCAGCATCTGCTGAAATAAAGGCAATATAATAATCTTCTTGAATAACATTTTATTGTCACAAACATCCATTGTACAAATGTGTACAGTAGCCTTGGGAAATGCACCATCACTCCAAAATGTTACGACTCACAAAACTTATCAAATTTTGTAAACAGTGCCACAATTTTTCACATCGAAAAAGTTCGACAAAACTCTTTGCATGCAGAATTTCACAATATAGAAATGCATTTTCGCTGACCTGTTGGAACAAAATTGCTGCTCCCTGACAGCTTCTGCTAGTGGCGATATTAAGACATGATGGCTGGAATGTATTGTAGAGGCATATAAATTACAATAGTTTATCCCATGTAATAAAATATTGAAAATGAAAGATGCTACTTTTTAGCATGACGGCTCTTTCAGAACTACAGCACCAAATGATTTGCAATAGTCATTATAAAAATAACAATCCAGCCAACAGGGGAATAGGGAAAAGTTACTCTTCAGACTAGAATGCCCTGAATCCCTGCCTGGGAGACTCTTGGAGCAATATGCCAAAAGGTAACTTAATTCACGTTCTGGTCAAAAATAAGCAGTCTTACATTCCATTAACATCACAATTTGAGTTAATTAAAATGGTTAAATCACCTGCTTAAATCATTAGGCTTTTGGATTCATTTCATATTAACTCACTTGAATATAGTAGAACATATTTCTGAGAAAACATACATAACCTTGGAATATTAACTTAGTTGTGACCAAAGCTGGCCTTTACATCTGGAGTACATGTCGAACAGACAGGAAACAAATGCTATTTCAGCAAGTGTTTCTCAGTGTGTGGTGAATCGATGGCAAGTAGATGAAAATGATAAGTTCATAATGATTTCAGCTTGTTTAATAATGATAATTCCATATTAAGCATTGATTACTCATGCATATCTAGTCCATTAAATCATTTTAGTTTAATGGCCATGCTTCTGAATAATAATTAGAGTCCAAAATGATTGTACTGGTCTATTAAACATGATAATATGCTGCAAAACCAGCATTAGAAAATAATTCTCGTCAAGATTATCATTTGGTGAGAAGAGCACATGAAGTTTTAATGAAAGGCAGATCATACAAATGTCTTCATCTGAGATAACAGTCAGATGAAAGTGAAGATTGGCATGAAATATTTTTACTGCAGACATTGGATGGGAGATCTCCAGTAAATACCAGGTGTTTTAGGTTATATTTTAGAGGAAAGAACCAGCAAAACTACCTCTGAGTACTCCTTGCCTAAGAAAACCCTTTGGAATCATGGAGTTACCATAAGTTGATAGGTGACTTGAAGGCACATACACACATAACAGTGTAGAGAAACAGGCCAGTGGCACATGGGAGCTGCAAGGCTAGGGCTTACCAATGTACCCTTGTGACCCCTCATCACATGCTCTTTCAGTACACAGCTGCCTTTTAAAAAACGGCACTTTGTTTTTGTTAGCTAACTATTACGGTACACAAGAAGAAACATTTTCATAAACAAGAGAATTCCAATTGCGTTTACAGCTCAAGATACAGAAAAAGCAGTTGAAATTGAAATCAGCACTGTCCAGTGTTGACCATACCATTGCGCTACCCACAGTTAGGGGATAAACAAGAAATGTACTTTTTCATAAAGCATAGTTCTAAGTTGCTTTTATTTAGAATTACATTGGCGATTGTGGGCTTCCAGAAAGCTCAACCTTAAATAATGCATGTAACTGAAAGAGTGTTTCAGGTGAAGATTTACACATGGGTGACTTTAAATGACAATATTCCAAAATCCATCTCAAAACAGATTAGTAAATTAAATGGAAATTTAATTAGTAAATTAATTAGTAAATTAAATGGAAAGAATACAGCCTGACAAGGAGCTGGGGTCAGTAGATTTCCAGGAGCTATGAATTGGAGGCAAAACTGTGGGATTTTGAATCCATAACAATTTATTGTATTTTATGGTGAAAGCCAATTAGGATTATATGGATATGCATTATTATTATTATTATTATTATTATTATTATTATTCTTATTATTATTAGTAATAGTAGTAGTAGTAGTAGTAGTAAAGTGAGATTGAAAACCTTGATCTCTATATCAAATGAACCAGTGTTGTGTGATTAGCTTCTCTTCAGCTTGATGCTTGAGATGTTTAGTGAGTTCCTTTTCAACAGAAGAAGCCCCAGAAGGATAAAAACAAAAGAAACATGCCCAGAAACTCACCTCTTCTTTGAACCTCAAATAGCACTACATGGATCATGTTTCAGTCTTGGACAGGAGTGCTGCTATTGATGTTATTGTAGATCTCCAGTTGTGCCAATTGCAGTGCAGCTCTTGGAGAAAGTATCTTTTGGAATGACAACTCATAGAATCCCCACAACATTGTTGCCAAATTGATTCAAATGTGAACCAACCCACTGCCATAGACCAGTGGGGTATGAGAGAGAAATCTGATGTAGCTGTATACTGGTTGTCAAAGGTAGTGTCTCTTTTCCCCTTCTGGTCTAACTACACCACAATATCATTTGAGTGTTAACAGCAAGGATATATGTTAACAACGGGTCTTCTCTCAATTAAGCCATACTGGGTTTTCACTGACTACTGAAGAAGTGGCGCACGTTAACATTCATGACAGAATGAGGTTACTGCCTCGGTGACTCACGGCCTTGTAACTAGGTGTTTACGCTCACAAAGCCACATGTAATTGGACTGCCACAGTTTCCCCTTTTCATTCACAGATATAACCTTTTAAATGTCACCTCAATGGGAAGCTGCCACCACAGAGAGTGATTTGAGTTCCTTTTGTTTCTGTACACAGGTGCTTATTGTAGTGGTCTTTCTGTTTATAAAGGGAAAAAAATAACCTCCTGAAATCAGTTGTCATGAATTGCTGTAATGAATGGCAGAAGACAAATTTCTTGAAGAGACAGTTTCAGGAATAGTCAGCTGGAGAACAGAGAGATTGCTGCCAGGTCTTATACAGGCAGATCTGAATGCATCGCACGTTAACAGCATCCCTGTTAGATATCTCATTGTTTTTGTCTGACACATATGTATATGAGTGTGTATCCTAAATAATACATATATCTATATATCTATATATTTCAAGCACCAAGAATGGGCATTATGTATATCTGAGAATATGTTGGATTACAACCTCTTTCATCACTGTATTTGTAGCATTCACATCACTAGCTTGGGATATTGGGGATTTGATTAAAATTCATTAGGGAAAAGACTTGGGAAGGCTGGCGGCGGGGGCAGACTAGTAAAATGAAAGCGTTCAGTACTCTCATAACTGCTGCCACCAAAATCACATATGGTTCGGCTGCAAACGCTTGTAACTTCATCTTGGAGAAAGCAGTAATAGAGAAAAGTTGGAGACTGATACACTTGTTGTCCTTCGTGCCAAGCAATCAATTCTTTCTTTTTGGGGTTCATTGTGATATAATCTTGAGTTTCATCTTGAATCATCTTTATACAAGCATTTTCCTCAGGCTTCAGTGTGTTAATTTTCAATGGCAAAACAGTGAGTCAGTGGGCTCCTTTGGGGCACATAGCAATGATTCTTTGCTAATTGCTATCAAACTAGCAGACAGGAAATAAGTAAATTAGGCTGAAAATTACTGGAATGTTTCAATACATTTTAGTACTAATCTGGTTTGATGCTGAAGCAAAATGGGAAAATGGAGAAGTTCATTTTATTACATTCTCTCTATGTAAAACTTACACCCCTTAGTGAATGGATGCAAATCTGTAAATGGGAAGAGAGACTATGAAAAGAGGAAGCCTACATTACAGTGGGGTAGATTCAGTCAAGAACTGAGCAGAACCGGTATTGGCAGGGTGTTTTGGAGGTCTGTCATTATTAGAGTCACTATAAGTTGCAGCTGACTTGTCAGTAATGAATAACAATATATGAAAATGTCTGTGTAAAAGGAAGAGGCATTTTTACCTATGTGCTTATAGTCTGAGTGTAAAGGTCACATTATTCTTCATCTAACATATATTTTCTAAATATTCTCTTGGATATAAATTGGCCTATCTAGCAAGGTTTAAATCAGAGGAACATATGCTTACTTCTTCATAAAAATTAAACTCTTTCAAAATTCAGAATATCTGACATGTTCACTGGCACATTTGCCCTTTGTTAATTTATTCTTTTAATCTAGTCAAAGTAAATAAGATACACCACCAAAATGAGATAAACAGTAGCAACTTTCAAAGTGACCTTTCCATGTAATTAAGGCTCTAGGTTTCTGCCATTTTCTGTAAAAACATAATATAACAACACAAAGCAATGAAGCATATTAGCAGGTTTTGCTTATTTTTCTCTCTCACTTGTATATTTTTCAGAGGTCCGTTTCCATATATTTCCACCTTCCAGCAATGCTCATTATGGTATACTGCTCTTAGAAGTGGTTTGCATACACCAATGTGGTATACTGGTTTCATCTAACCAGTATACCGGTTTCATCTACCAGTATAGTTAGACAAAACCAGTTGTGGAAAATGTGGCTCTCAGACATTGTTAGATGATAATATCCAGCACCATGTTGGCTGGGTTTGATAGGAACTGGAGTCCAACATCAGGAAGGACAAGGTTCCTTTCTTGAACACGAATAGCTCCAGATTTGGTGGATGGGTCAGCTTTTATGATGAACTGCAATTTTGAAACGAATAGATTTTTGTCACCCAACAGGCACTTAATTTTGAAATTAGGTGCAGTATGCAAACTCACTTTAGTTCGAGCTTGATTGACAATGACCATTTTTGCACAGGCTCTGTGACTCCTCTTATTTGTCTCAGAAACATTAATTTGACTTTTGACAATTTTTGAAGGTCAGCAAGGGCACATTTTAAGACACAGTGAGAAACCAATATTGGCAGCATTCAGCTGGCACAATTTCTTATAGGAACAATGTAATACTAAAAAAATAAAATAAAGCAAAACAACAGTAACACTATATTGAATTCTTACATATTGTTGCCAAGTAAGAGCTCCAAGACACGAAGAATCAAAATGCAAGTTTCATGAGGAGAATTATCAGAAAACAGGTCAGAATGAACAAAGGCATGCCAAACCATGTGTCACCAGTATTTTAGGTGGAGAAATAAACTGGAAGAAAAACATGGGGAAAACAATATTTCAGATTTCAAATCAGCAAACAGATGTGACTACTAAACAGTGAAACAAACACATTTCAATTCTTCTGTCCATGTTTTCATAGAATCATAAAGTTGGAAGAGATCTCTTGGGCCATCCAGTTCAACCACCTGCCAAGAAGCAGGAAATGACCATCCAGTCTCTGCTTATAAGCCTCCAAAGAAGGAGATTCCACTACACTCCAGGGCAGAGAGTTCCACTGCTGAACAGCTCTCACAGTCAGGAAGTTCTTCCTAATGTTCAGGTAGAATCTCCTTTCCTGTCATTTGAAGCCATTGTTTCATGTCCTAGTCTCTAAGGTTTGTTAAGATATAAGGTTGAGTAGCCCTTATCTTGAATTTCACAATCCGAAATACTCTACACCTAAATTAATACCAGATAATGACACCTTTGCTTTCCGATAGTTCAATGTATGCAAACGTATTTCATTTACAAAATTGTTAAAAACTCTGTGTATGAAATTATCTTCAGCCTAGGTGTCTAAGGTGTATATGAAATTTCATGTTTAGACTTGGATCATCTCTGAGAAATCTCATTATTAATATGTCAGTATTAAAAAATCTAGACAAATCTGAAATATGGAACACTTCCGATTCCAAGTATTTGGAATTTTTCTTCGTGTCAAGAGCAACTTGAGAAACTGCAAGTTGCTTCTGGTGTGAGAGAATTGGCCATCTGTAAGGATGTTGCCCAGGGGACATCCAGATGTTTGATGTTTCAGCATCCTGCAAGAGGCTTCTCTCATGTCCCCGCATGGAAAGCTAGAGCTGAGATGGGAGCTCACCTCACTCCCTGGATTCAAACTGACATGGGTTTAACCCATTGCGCCACCGGGGGCTCCAACATTTAGGATAAGGAATACTCAATCTACACTTCTCTTTTCACAAAAGGTAATATATTAAGATCAATCTAGTTTAGGTTTAAAAATTCAGTGCTCTTAGCACTGCAAAAGAGAAGTGCAGATTCAGCATTTAGGATAAGGAATACTCAATCTGCACATCTCTTTTGTAGTGCTGGTAGCACTGAACTTTTCAACCAAACTAAATTGATCTTAATATATTACCTTCAGTCTGTAACCTTGTGCGCATTTTTTCCAGTTCATTCTCCAAATGAAACACCTGTAATATTTTGTTCCTAGTTCATTGGTTGTTCTACAGTAGGTATGGAAATCTTGAAAACTGTCAGAGGTTGTTTATTCTGGCTGAGGATGCCGGACACTATAGTCCAATAATATCTTGATGCCTGCATGATTCCCTCCCACACTTTGCAAAAAAGAGTAATTGTTTCAGCCACAATGATTATACCTCTCAGTAGCAGGTGCTGCTTATATAAGCGTTACACACACATCCGTAATTTTGAAATAAATATGTTGTTATGAAGAAAACGTGCCCTGTCTTGAGCTTTTCTAATATTAGGTATCACAATACATGTTTACCAAGACATCAGAAGGGCTTTGTCCAGATTTTATAACAGGGAGCTAATGTATTGACTGACCCTGCTGTCACTGTTAGTTTCAAGATGACCAAGTGCTTTATAATTAGGCAAGTGTTCCACTTAATCATGAAAAGGATTTTCCCGTTGCTGATGAGAAAACAAAGCTCTTGAAAGCTTTTGAAAAACCAATTTCTTCCTTCGCCGCGGGGGATATATTATTTTGCGTTTCTAAGGTTAGGGAATGTTCCCAATAGAATGCTTTGTATTGGCAGCTGGTGATTTCAGTGCCAGTGAGGTCATGAATCCATTCTGGGTTTTAGTCTGAACTTTAAAGAAGCTGTCTAAAGGGCTGAACCAATTTCTTTCCAAGTTCACTACCAAACAGTCATGAAAACTTCCAGCTGCCCCTCATGCTTTATTCACTCATTATTACTAAGAAATTATACGACGTCAAACAAATGAAAAAGGGTTACTCACTTATAATTATGATAAGAATGACGGCACATACAACACCCAAGATGATCATCATCTAAAAAGAGAGTTGAATAAAGAAAAACAGATCTCAGTTTTATCTGTATTTGTACAGATATAGATGCCTTGGGTTGCTTATTGAGAGAAAGACAGGATATACATTCAACAAATATGGTAAATACATAAAATAAATAAATTCTGTTTCTCTTCCAACACAAGTACTGCAGCAATGCCAGACTCTCCAAGAGCACTGCTGTTGAAAGGACAAGAGTTCACTTTCTTCTTTCATTAGTATGACAGAGGCAGTACATGATAATTTGGTTGACAGACCCCTATTTATCTTTTCAAGCATAAACTCATAATATCCATGGTACCCCTTGGAAAAGTTACAATGGGCAAGTTGACTGGGATGATGTTTAACTGTGTGCTCTGGGAACAATAGTACAACCTGCTTCAAAAACTTTCAAAACTTTTGAACCATAGCCAAATTGAAGTTAAGAGAAGGGCTCACTGCTTGAGACTAGTTGCTTTCATGCCATGATGGACCCAATGAATATATTTTCATAAAACCAAGCAATGCAGTAATAGGACCAGATTTAAAAAGTTCTATGGTTCATTGAACAGAGAAAAAAATTCGATCAGAATCTCCAAATAATATGCAGGCATTTGCAATGCATCTGTATATCAGTACTGGAAATTGTAGTCCTACAGATGCTGATGGACAACAACTTCCAAAATAGGAGATATAATCACGTGATTCTTATAGAGCTAAGATCCCATAAACTCAGACCTTTTAAAAGCAACTTAAACAGTGGGACAGCAAAAGATTAAGTTGGCCTATCTCTGCCCAATTGGACATTTGGAGGATATATCATTGGAGGATATATCATTAGATATATTCTCCAAAGGGATAATTCTATATTCTTTCTCTTCTTCCCATTGTATCTTTTTGCCAGCTTCTTTAATTGCAGAAGTAGTTAACTCAACAGGGAGGAGAGGAGTGGAATCTTATCTTTGGCTGTCGCCTCAGGAAAATGAAAATGGCATCACCCTTTCCTAGCTCCCTTCTTCATTAATAACATTTGCCATTTTGATCCTACTCTGATGTTACTTAGACCCACACGTCCCAGTTTTAATTTATGAGATGTTGGAGGCTATACAATTGTACATACAAGATTATAATCTACACAATTCAGTTGACATTTCTCTTGAAGATCATATTTTACTATCCTATAGTTTTACCTTACAGTTTTTCCACCAGTATTTCCTCTTCAGCTTAGCTGCACTGGTTTCAAATTGTGATGCTCCAGCTTGCAATGCATCTGCACGATTATCGAGCTCTGAAAGCTTCTGGTCTCTTTCTAGTACTTTGTCCACATTGACGCGCATTATGTCCACCACCTGCAATTGGAAATCAATTTGTTAGCAAACCTGTCACAAAACTGAAAGCTACATTTACTGCACAGAAAATAGCATTATATTAGTAGATCGCAGGTGTGCTTCACAGAAAACATATTTCCTGCAGATATGTTTTTTTTTCTCTGTAAGAAGCTATTTTTGGCACAGAAATGCTGTTTTCCATACAGAAAGTGCAGTTTTCTGTGCACAGAATAAACCCCAAGCAAAGAGCCTATGGAAACTGTAATTGTCAATGACTTTTTCCAGCAATGAAATAAAATGATAATATTATTTGTTCTTTTCTGTGAGAATTAGCAATACAAAGATTTACATTCTTACTTAATCAGACAACTAGCTCTTCAGAATTTCAGGTAGGTGCTTTCCAATCTTTTTATGCACTGAGCTGTAAAGATTGATATTTCTGCACTGATGGGTCTTAGAATTCTAGAGTATGGAAGGACTGCCCTATGAAAATAGCCACGTACATTTCCTGAACAAGCTTAATTCTTGTTGAGCTAAGTTTTACTATGAAGGACTTCACTAAATATTGGCAGGTTGATGTAAAATCTAACAAAAGGATAGTACTGTGTGGTATGTTAACCCTGAAGTGTGTTATGTTAACTCTGCCTGTTTAATTTTATGTTACTTGGTGTTTTGTTGATTTTGTTTATTTTTGTATATATTTTATGTATTACTCTGTTCTACGTGCCTTGTAAGCTGCCCTGAGTCCTCTTGGGGAGATGGGGTGGGATAAAAATAAAGTTATTATTATTTATTATTATCACTTTCAGAGGTGTACAAAAGGCTATCAGACTACCTTCCACTTATTTCTTCCCACTTTACTTCATAGCTATCTGGAACCAATTTCCTTCCCATCTGTAATGCTCAGTCCTCTATTTTCATCATTCCAAAGAGTAGGGGCTCATTACATATTGTCACAGACCACACAATCATTTAAATGCAGCTATACCATAGAGATGAGAGCCAGAATGGGACCCAAATAATACTGGGACCCAAAGAGATCAGGGTTCAGAAAGCCCTACTTTGTCATGGAAACCCAACGTGGGCAACTGATGTTCTTTCAGCATCAGAGGAAGGTAAAATAACTGAATGAATATTGCCAAGAAAATCCCACAATAGGTTTGCCTTAGAGTCATCATAAGATGGAAACAACTTTATGGCACACAACAGCAACAGCAGCACTAATAGCAACAACAAAAGACATGGGGATCACGTTGCTCTCCAAAGATTATTTAATTGCAGCACCCTTGGTCTGTTGATAGGAGTTGCAATCCAGCCGTATCTGGAAGATGAGCTTATGGAATTAGTAAAGGTAATTAAATAGAGACATATTGCCCTTCCTTAATTAATATGTGAAATCTAACTCTTTGTGTTAGGAACTTTTATCCAAAACAGAGCAAAACATGCTTCTCCTCTTGAATTTATGAAGTTCCATAGCATGGGTATATAGTGCCACCTAAAGGATATTTCTATTGTGGCAACACATTGACTTTGCAGCCAAAATTTACATATCCAAAATATAAAGTTTTCCAAGGAAAACGCTCCAATTGTAGGGCTAATGTACTTCCTAATCTCTTCTCATCATCAGTAACTGTCAGAAAATGTATCACGGAAACAGATTTGCTGCTGTTCTATTAGATCTTAGTGCCAATGTGATGCAGCTGCAGGAAATGGCCATTGCTGACAACTGATCATGAAAAATTGGGCATAGCTGTCATCATTCTGGCCAGAGATTTATGTCTGTGCCATTCTTCCTTTGTTATTTGGATGCATGGCTAATGAAAGTTTGACTATTCTCCTTGTAGGTTGTCTGAGGTTTCTTTTCTCTCTAAATTTCTTGCATCTTCACTCTGCAAGCAAAAGAGAGTTTAAAAGAGACTGCATATATAAAAAGACTAATTAAAATTATGCATTTGATAAAAATATTTGGCCTGAGTGGATTTTTCCCCTCTGTAAAATGAATTGTTATTTTTAACATGCTTGTTTTTTTTGATCTTTCAATGTATGTTTTTGGTCTGGGCTAATGACTGATCAGGCCAAATCAGTGGCAAATTCCAAACTGGCATAATGGTTGATGACTCAGTTAATGGATTTTGTAATGCACACCTATGAAATTCATAAAGGAAAGATAAAATACCTTACACTAAGCTCACCTCATTCACTTGTGCCTGTGTCTGCTGCAGCCTCCGGTTGCTGGTCACATTGGTCTGAGTAGGAGCCCCTGGACTGGAGGCACCTTCAGCACCTTGGGAAGGAATTGGTACTGACCTGAAATAGAAACCCTGCAAATGTTACCATCCTTTTTGCTTTAGGCACATTGTTTAATATTGTCACATACATCTATAGGTTTCTCTTCACTTGCTCTTCCTTACTAGACTGAATGACAGGTGCACTACTACAAAGCTGGGAGAAAGGAAAGGTCAGCTGGATGGCCAAAATATTTCACCAAAGTATTGTTACATGAGGTCATGCTTTGCATAAAGAAGATCTTTGGTTCTTTTCACATTATTTACTTATTGCATGATGTTTGTACTTTGCCATGGCAAACTCCTTTGGAATTCTGGGTTTGTGGTTTGCAGAGGCGAGGCACTAGAGCTCTCTAGCTGTTCAAATGCCTCTCCCTAAACGGCAAGTCCCTGGATTCCATAGGATGTTGCAAAATGCTTCAGGAAAACACTAGCCATTAGACACGTGCGCAAAATTAGTTCCTACCATTTCTTTCATGTCTTCCATTTATTTGGAAGCTTGAAATGGGAAGCGCTCTCTCCATGCAAAAATCTGCTCAAAACGAAAGCCTTCCTACAGCCTGCTTTCAAGTGCTTCTGAACTTGCCTCCTTGCCTTGGAAAGAGAGTGCATGTGTGGTGGGGCATGCTGGCAAGTAGACCTGCAGATGAGCTCCAGGCCTGCCTACTCACCCTGCCACACACACTCTCTCAAAGAGTGTGGCGGGGTATGTATGGCAGGGCGTGCAGGCAGACCTGGAGCTCGGCTGCAGGTGCCACATACTCATTCTCTTTCCAAGGTGAATGCATGTGTGGTGGGGTGTGCAGGCAGGCCTGGAAAGCCTACAGCTGAGTGCCTTTTACTCTATAGTAGGAACAGCAGGTGCAAGATAAGAAGAATGCACACATGAAAAGTGAGCCAGTGGTTGATAACCCCCTCCTTAATGGTCTGATTTTTGGGCCCTGAAATAAAAGAACCAAAAACAGCCCTTTCTTGCTGCTCAGCTAGGGTTCACCTTGCTTAAGCACTCACCAGGAAGCCAAAAGTAGAAATAAACAGTTTGTTGAAAAAGCACACACAGTAAATGAGTAAAAAATCCAAATAGGTAAGATAAAAGCCAGAGATAAATCTCCAATGCAAAGGTTAAAGCATGAACATAAATCCAAGGAATAGGGAAAATCATGAGCTTGAATAATCCAAAAGACAAGGAATAAAACCGCTCTGAGTCGCCTAAGGGCTGAGAAGAGCGGTATACAAATAAAGTAAATAAATAAATAAATAAAACATCAACTTGAGTAATTCAAGAATCAAAGAACAATACATGAGCTTGAATTCATGGTAAAATCCCCAAGACTCAAAGCAAAACTTGACCAGGATATGGCTTGAAGCAAGAACCAAAAAAGCCCGGAGCAAAAAAGTCCAGAGGAAAGAGCTGGCCAGGCTGCACTGGGCCACCAGTGGAGAAGACCTGGCTGAAGTGCAGCAGCTCCTGCAGAAGCAGCATGACTCGAGCGAGAGTGCTGCTTTCCCTCCTATTGTCCCTCTTGCTCAGGTTGTGCTGCTTCTGCAGGAGTTGCCACACTTCAGCCAGGTCTCCTCCGGCGGTGACCTGAGCGAGAGGGACAATTCCTTCCTCTGCCGCTTTCCCTCCTCTTGTCCTCTCGCTCAGGTTGCTGCCGAATGAGACCTGGCTGAAGTGCAACAGCTCCTACAGAAGTAGCACGACCCAAGTGAGAGGAACAATTCTTTCTTCTGCCACTTTCCCTCCTCTTGTCCCTCTTGCTCAGGTTGTGCTGCTTCTGCAGGAGCTTCCGCACTTCAGCCAGATCTCCTCTGGTGGCAGCCCAATGCAACCCAGCCAGCTCTTTGCTCTGGACTTTTTTGCCCCTGTCTGCCCTAGGAGCAGCAGCTCCGGTGGCTCCCTCTGTTTCCTCCCCAGCCCCAGAATCTTCTTCTTCCTCCTCTTCTTTCTACCACAGCCTCAGGAAGAAAAGTGGCAGAGAAAGGAAGGCAAAGAAGAAGGAAGGGAAGGCGAGGAGGAGGAGGGCTGCACAGGCAAAAGTGTCCCTCTTGCCAGGGGAGGGTGGCATGGGCACCTGAGAGAGGGAGGAAGGGAGGGGAAAGAGGAGAGGAAAGAGAAGGTGAAGTGAGGGGGGGGGAGGGAGCATTCTTACACAGTATTTCACTTATTGCGGGTGGTCCTGGAACAGATCACCTGCGATAAATGATGGAAGAGTGTATTGCAAATTATAACTATTTTATAAAGACAAGCTTTCAATGGGTCTGCAATTATTTCCATACTTTCATGGTCCCTCAGTCACAAAGGAAAGTAGTAGCTCTGGGAAAACCATTCCCAGGCTCTAAGTTATGTCCCCAGGCCTGTAAGGTATATAAGGGGATACCGAGGGCTCATCATAAAGCACAGCAACCTGGGGACCCACAGGTTGAGAACCACTGGTCTATATGGAGTGAAACATCTGTAGAGACAACTGCTGTTCCACATAGGAATTTAGGAAGGTTCAAAGTGTCTTTGAATTTGAATTCTGGTGTGCAGATTATATGCTTTAACTATCCCTCTTTCTTGCTCAGTTCGATTATTCAGAGTCTATGTGAACCTACTGGAGTTTGTTAAAAAAATTTTTAATGAAATGCTGGTTTTAGCAAAAGGAAATCAATATTTGTTTGGGCTCTAATTAAAAGGGAAAAATGTATTCCCATAAACAAGCCCGTTTTTATGAAAACATCTCTTTGGAGAACTGCAAAAGATCCAATCTGTACTGGTGGCTGAATCCAGGCCAGCAAACATTCTTCATAGCCACTGGTCTGACAGTTTCTAACGATTTCTCACTCCCACTCTTCTATGTGACTCACCATCCTCTTGGAACAGTCCCTCATCAATTCTACCTGCAAAGGACAGAAAGCCTTTACTAGAACTGCCAAGGAAATCCCTGTGCCTATAAACAGGGGTGGGAGGACAGAAACCTACACAAATCATCTTCCTACATTGCTACCATCCCCACATGCACACAGAATGTCAGCCAGATAACACAGTATCACAGTATCTCTCAGTCACTCCTACACATTTCACCAACGGCATTGTGTAGCCAGGGCAGAAAATCTTCACAGATGGCTTCCGTTTCAGAGCCCTAACTATTCTCAAGTTAATCTTTGTATCCTTATCCTGCCCTGTCATGTAAAACTCTTGAGGACTGTCATCATCTCAGGGCTGCTTTTCATCTTCTTGTCTGCTTTCCCCCCAGTCTTCCTGGCTATTGTTGTGTGTCACACACCTCTATTGTAGTGATGACAAATCCTTTACAAACCTGCATTTCATATTAAAGGAATCGTAGATCTAAACAAACAGCTCATTCCCCTGGAGGACTCCCTTTTAAGTATGAAGGGGGAAATGGCGGTGTCATTTTGAAATTGTAAAGGCAGAAGATGTTCTGTTTCACATGATTGGTGGGAGTGGGAAAATCACTTGTTGCTAAATATACGGCAGCTACACAATTCACTCTCATTCCCAACCTGTTTTTCTAGTGAGGCCTAAAGCTGAATTCTGCCTTCTGTCTCAAATCTTAATCTAAGGCTAAGCTGTTCACACGGGGCAGAGCTGGCCCTGCTCTTAGGTCAAGTCAGACAAGCAGTACAAATACCTGACTTTGAGTGTCATGAAAGAACAGTGAATTATTTAATCTAATTCAAGAAAGAGGCGCCACATATTGTTTTCTACCTCAGCGGCCAAAATACTTTTGACAATTGTGGGTACTGGTCAGCTTGGCTTGGTTGAGATTGAGTTAGGGTTGCTATCTTGGACAACAAAACGTCTCTGTTCAGAATACACTATAAGTCATGTTGGCTCTCCTTATTATGCCTTTGCTGATGAGATGCGTGTTTAATAGAGAAAGCGCTGAGACTATCCCTAACTATCTGTGTCATTGTCTCTCCCTTACTTCTCCATATGGCAGCCTTGCATCTTGCTATATCTGTTTGTGGCATAGGCTAAAGAGAATTTTAGCTTCAGGAAATCCAGAGAAGTTCTGTGATTTAGTCCAAATATTAAAGAAGCTATCCAAGGTACTGAACCCTATTCTGTCTAAATAGATTCAGGTTTCGGCGGTGACCAGGGGAGCATTCGCACAGTTAAACTTGTGCGCCACTGCGCGTACCTTGGGAAGTCTGACTTGGCCACGGTAGTCCACGCTCTGGTTACATCCCGCCTTGACTACTGCAACGCTCTCTACGCGGGGTTGCCTTTGAAGACGGCTCGGAAGCTCCAACTAGTCCAACAGGCGGCAGCCATGGTACTAACAGAAGCAGGGCGCAGGGAGCATACAACTCCTCTGCTGTACCAGCTCCACTGGCTGCCGATTAGCTACCGGACCCAATTCAAAGTGCTGGCATTGGCCTTTAAAGCCCTAAACGGTTCTGGCCCAACATATCTATCCGAACGTATCTCAGCCTATCAGCCCACCAGGACCCTAAGATCTTCTGGAGAGTCCCTGCTCTCTGTCCCTCCGGCTTCAGAAGTGCGGCTGGCGGGAACGAGAGACAGGGCCTTCTCTGTGGTGGCCCCTCGGCTTTGGAATGCCCTCCCTATAGAGATAAGATCAGCTCCCTCGCTGTTGGTATTTCGAAAAAAACTTAAGACATGGATGTTTGAACAAGCATTCGGGTAATCCGGTGCGATGAAGTTGATGACAAGGACTGGTAATTATTGACGATGAATTCGGATTATGATTTTAACTAAGAGATGCATTGGTCGGTATTGGTGGCCCGATACTGTGTACTGTATATGTTTTTTATGCTTTTAAATTGTTTGATTATTGTTGTTTTTAAGTACTGTTAACCGCAATGAGTCGCCGTTGTAGGCTGAGATATTGCGGTATATAAGCATACAAAATAAATAAATAAATAAATAAATATTTTGGAGAGTTCTACTAAAATTTGGATAAAGCCCTAGGCCATATTCTCTGACCTACTGACAGGGAAACCATCAGTGAAACTCTTGCAAGGTCAGAATAGGATGGGACCATACCATTG